AGTTTTTATGGCACTAGTGGCTTGTACTTTTGATAGTGGGCTGACAGGAAAGGGGGTATGAGAGAGAGGAAGAGAGACATGCAGCAAAGGACCACAGGTCTGATTCGAACCCAGATCGGCTGCGTCGATGACTAAGGCCTCTGTACATGGCTGGTGCGCGCTAACCACTGTGCCATTTGCAAAACCTTTATGAATGTATTTAATGCTTTTTATAAATCTTTAGGAGAAATTCGAGAGCTTTTTTAAGACATTAAATTAAACTGTTGTTTTGTTCTTCGGCTTTATCCGGGGCATGGTCGCGGAAGCAACAATCTAAGCAGAGATACCCAGACTTCCCAATCCACACACACCTCCTCCTGCTCTGAGGGGGCCGCAAGATGATATCAGGCCAGCTCAGAAATGTAATCTCTTCAGAGTGTCCTGGGCCTTCCATGATTCCTCCAGACGTCCCCGAAGCACCTCCCGAGGGAGGCGACCAGGAGGTATCCGGAATAGATGCCCCAGCAGCCTCCACTGGCTCCTTTCGCTGTGGATGGCAACGACTCTACTCTTAGCTTCTCCTGAGTAACTGAGCTACTCACCCAATCTCCAAGGGTTTGCCCAGCCACCCTGCGAAGGAAACTCATTTCGGCCTTTTGGTCATTACTGCCATGGTTTTGGTTCTGTTTAAGTTTTATCATTGAGTTTTCATTGGTTTTATTTTTGATTGTATTTAAGTTCTTAGGTATCTCTTGTTTGCCCTCTGTTGCCCTCTTGTGTCAGTCTCCTTTTCCCTAGCTCCCTTCTAGACCCATCTGTTCACACCTGCTCCCAATTTGCTGATTAGCCTGGTCTTTTTTTCTCTCTCCCATATGTGCACCTCCTGCTCAGTCACTGTGGATGCTTATCTTAATTTCTTTGCCCTTGTTGTGAATATTCCTGGTTTTCGGTATTTTGTCGATTTTTTTGTTTTGTTTCTGGATTTTTGCTTCTGTTGCCCTTTTTAGTTAATTCAATCTTGCAAGAAACCATCTCAGCTTGAGTCTCTGCATTTGGGTCATCTTCAAACCTGGTCCCGCACTTGGCTGCAAACCGCCCCAGTGCACGCTAAAGGTCCTGGGTTTCTTTAATCCAACTTTTTTAATGTTCTTTTTTGTTTCTGCATTTTTTATTTATTTATTTTTTCCTACTTGCTTTGAATCTGTTTTATTTTCTGTATTTTAACAATTTAAAGCACTTTGCATTGTCTTTGTACTGAATTATGCAATACAAATCAATTTGCCTTGCCTTGCCTATAAAAAAAAAACAAAAACAATTTAAGGTGAGATCGCCACACACTTAAAAAACAAACAAAAAGCGATTAATTAAATTATATTTTTGTACATGACCAAAGGGATACATGCCAGTTGATGTAGTTTCAAGTTTATTTTTCATACAATACTAAAGGAAAAAACTAAAGGGATACACTAAAGGGATAAATGGGTATTGACTATGGGTATGCTGGTCTGACTGGGTATGCTCATCTGACAGAACACAGGTACCTCTCAGCTGATTGCAGCTGACTGATGTTTCTTGTTATCTAAAAGGAAAAAGTTCATAATCTTAAAGGATTTGCATTTCTTTATCGTATCACAAACACACCGTATAGACTATAGTGCATAAGCATCATAACACAAATAATTCTAATTCTATATATTTTCTTTTTTATTGCTAAAGGGCCAAATTTGCTGGTAACATTTTAACTGAGTTACTTACATTCAATCTAAAA